TTTTTTTCGGTGGGGTCACCGGAAATGACGTCGCAATGGCTGACTTTAAAATATTTTTCAACCAAAATTTCAGAAAATCTTCTTTAAATATGTATCTTAAATGCTATAAAAAGTTTGAATAAGAATTCCATTTTTTATATAGAAAAAAAAATTGTTGAAAATATGCTATTTTTTCCCAGTGTAAACCCATGTAACCCCTTAAGGGGAGAAGGGATACCTGTAGACCCGCAAATTTAATTTGATTTTGATAATGTTATGACGATTAAATCAATATATATATAAATAAAGTTTAATTGATTTTATATCTTCATTTTTTAGTAAATATCTTCGAAGAGAAGTACTCCTTTCCAAGTTCAATATTTAAAAATAAGAAAAATATCCATTTTTCTGTGGAAATAAAGAAAAAAACAAAATGAAATCCGTTAACAGCAATTATTATTGTGATTTACAGATAATATAACAATGGTAAGTACATTAGATATAAATAGTATAAATAGAATTTAATCGAATCGTATCTTTTCTTCTGATATCTTTTCTCCCCCTCTCTTCGAAAAAAAAGAAATAAAATAAAAAAAAAAAAGATTAATTGTTTTTCCTCGAATATCGACACGTCTACGTTATTTCCACGCCTGATTCATTATCTTACGTTATATTCTTCTTAAGATTTGAAATGGAAATGTAAGTAAATACAATGGAAAACAAAAGTATTCGTATAGTAAGTATGTGAAAAGAAAAAGATTTGTATTTTCTACATAATGTAGTTTTTTTTTTAGTTTTCCTCGACTGTATATTGAAATAATTTTTAAACTCTCCTTGTTTTTTTTTTTTTTACAACTCCTACCCCATTCGGTCATTTTCTTTTTAAACTTACCTGTGTTTCAGTCAGCATCAACGAAGTAGCTACCTCGAACCTTTTCGGTCTGCTCAAATACTTGTTCTGACGAAATTGTTTTTCCAATTCGAGAAGTTGTTGCGAGGTGAATGCTGTCCTAGGTCTTCTCGTTTTACCAAGTAACGCGTGTTGAGCCGCACAACCTTTTTAAATCAAAACAATTCGCAACAAATTAGAATATTTAAGGATATATTTTGTAGATTTATTCGGATTATTATTAGATGGGAAAAAAATATTATCAATTAAATTATATGTACGAAAGAGGATATGTATATAGTGTTGTTATTTGTTTATGCTATTTATTTGGGTTAGCCAATGAATAATGAAATTGTTAATACTAAAAGGTAAATTTAATACCTGTCGTTTTATTCGTCTCCAAAATAGATATTTTTTCCCCATGACATGCAATCGTTTTGTAACGTCAATAGGAGTATAATTGAACGCCTTCTATAATTCTAAAATCGGAATTGAATTTCCATCGAGTTAATTCTTGCAGTTTATCCAAAAATATCAAGTATTTTTATAATTTAAATATTAATTAGTAAACATTTCTTTTTGTCATTATTTTTTATCGGCCAATACAATTATTCTAAAATTATATGCATGATAATTCTAATTAATACTCTTTTTTTTTCGAGCCACTGAAAAATGTAGATATTAAATTTTATTTTCGAAACGTCGAATGAAACGAATTCGTATCTCGATCGATCGATTAGACTCTCTCTCTCTCTCTCTCTCCATGAGTTCATCGTTAAATGAATGATAATTATAAATTTGAGTCGTAATATTCGAAATTAGTCGTAATCTATCGAGATAACAGATCGATAATTCTCGATCGATCGTTAAACCATAGCAACGATAATCATTTCATTAGCCCATACGATCCATTGGAAATCATCGAATGCTAATGCAATTATCGCGAGTGTAAATCCCTATGGATTACGGAGCGATGATTTGGGGTTAGACGTTAGGGTGGAAACGCCACTACCGCCCCTACAATTAGCTCTGCCAACGACTCTTGGTGCTCAGAAACCGTATCCCAAACTTATTTACGAATACATTGGCGTATATATATATTTTTATTCTTTTTTTTTTAAATCAAATTATATTATTTATTATAAATAATTAATATATATATATATTTTATAATGTCAAATTAATTTAAATAACTTTATAGAGATANTAATATATATATATATTTTATAATGTCAAATTAATTTAAATAACTTTATAGAGATACATTTGCATGAAATGTTCAAACATTTCTAATACATTCAGTATTTTCTCTCGTCCAAAATTATAATTTTTGATGATACAAAACCTTTTTTTTTAAGTTTTGTTGAGGTTTTTGAATAATAACGATCAAATTAACGAAGTTTAGATGTATTGTGTTTGGAATATTATAAAGAGAAATGTATGTCGAAATAAATCAAAAAGACGCTGAACTTTAATGATTAAGTTGCCGAAGAAGTCCCAATAAAGGGACGAAACGTCCAACATAATTAAATTAAGTTCTACTTCTTTTCATGTCCAAGTTCCCTATGAACCTATATCATCAAAAATTTCTAATACAATTTTTGATATACCCTAAAACTGAGAAATACTTACAATATTATTAATATAAAGAAATAATTGTTAAACAAACTTTTCATTAAAATTATTATTAATTAAATAATACGTAAACAAGAAATGTATTAGATAATTAATGTCGAAAAAAAGGAATATAAAACGAGTTTGGAAATAAGGGAAAAAGAAAAAGATAGCAGATTTCTCATGTCATTTTAATCTCGCGCGATTTGTCAGGAACTTTGCGTCACTGGCTTAAAGCACCCCCGAAAACTTAACTGGCAAGTGCGTCACCGACTGTCAGTGTTTGTACACATGGCATCGTTTAGGCGAACGCATTCGGATTAGCGTGTGATTCACTTAACCATCGAGATATTGCGAGCAGGTACCTCTACCTACGTATACATATATATACTACACACACACATATATATATGTAGTTAGGAAAAAGGGGAGACGACGTTTCGATACGGAGGAGCTTTGCCCAATTTTACGGCCGATAGAAAAATAAGCGAACACATTGATCCGTGTGATACGATCGTTCTAAATCTATCTCTTCGATCTCTAACGAGAAATTTCGAACGACGAATAATTTTATTATCAATCCCATGAAATTTTATCTACCATATTCATAATCTAGCAATGTACGGTGGTCATTACTTCTTCCAGAAATCTTATATACATATAACTAAAATATGTATCAAAGGAAATTTGGACGGTTATTAATTCTTTATGAACGTTTTTGTTTTTTCGAGCAAGTTAAACGTTTCGTCCCTTTTTTGGGACTTCATCAGCAACTCGATCGTTATTGTTCACGAGTCAATATACATTTTTTCTTTTTCGAAGTCATACATTTAAACTATACTTAACATTTACAATACATTTTTTTCTAAGCACCTTTATATAATCACATGTAATCAAATATATATATGAGCCGTTTGTTTTTAAAGTGGCATAAGTCATTTTTTTCAAAAAAAAAAAAAAAACCGAGTTAATGGCAACAATAATTACAACTGAACGGTATCTTTTCATTTTCAATTAAAAAAAAAAAAAGTGACTTATGCCATTATCAAAATAAACGGCTCATATATATAAATAAAATCGTATTTAATTAAAATCAAAATTTTTCTTTAATTTTATACATTTTTCATCTACGTTAAAAACTAATTGAAAATGAATTTGTCTTTTTTTTTTTTTCGTTTTTCTTCCTATTTGTATCACAAAAATTAGTAATATTTGCAAACGTTTAATTAAACATTTGTTATATTGAAGAGGATTCACGAACACGTACGCGATTCTTCTTTTCATACCCACTAGGACATTTGATGCTCGTTGGTATTTAACATGTAGCATTTAACGGAATATTTATCGTCTCGTGAAAAGGGGCGGTTTACCCCCCGTGGTGCACATATGGCGAACCCAATGATGATTTCCCTTTCCCCTTTGTACTTTTGGGACGATTATTATTTCGAACGTTGTTGCATCCTAGTGCTCTTCTTCTTCCTATCCCTGTTACCCCCTCCCTCCCACTCTCCCACCCTCCTCTCTCGTCGTATGATTTATTTTTATGTCTTTAGTCGACAAATTTCGTTCTCGATAATTCACCGATCTGTGACATCGATTAGAGTCGTTGACAAATTATTGCCAACAAAAAAAAAATGAAAGAAAAAATACAAATTCGAGTACAAACGCATACAAGCGCGCGAGATAAAAACAAAAAACAAATGTCCTATTACAAAAGAACAGTAAAATTTATTGTTTAAACACAAAATAATACAAATTCAAGTGGAATCCCTAAAAAATGATATTTAATCCTCGTTAAGCACATACGTAATAATATTCATAAGTATAAATCAATATAAGTGAGAGAGAGAGAGAAAAAAGGAGAAATGGATAATCCATCCCCCATTCTGTAAAGAGGGGGTTGCGGGGGGTCTCGAGCAAGTGACATAAGGTCTAGTCACGTTCATGGGGTGGTAAGCGTTAACTATGACGCTAACTAACTACAAACAACCCTGAAGGTAAAATAAACAATCTAAATAGTCGCGGCAGGACGGTGTAGTAAAACGATAACTAAAGAAAATTTATCAAATGGGGTATAATTCCCGATAGAACGGAAAGGACGACCAATGGGAGGACACTTTTGGGATCTTATATAGGTAGGAATAAATGTGTTAGGTATATTTTCTGGAGTCGAGAAGATCTGAGAGAAAGAGAGAGACAGAAAGAGAGAAAGAAAAGGAGAAATAGAAAGCTATGAAAAGAAATAAAGATTGAAGGGGATGGTGGTGCAAAACCGTGACAGATGTTGGTAAACAAGGAGGGTGGCTTTATCGAGTGGACAATCACCACTATTGAAACTCTTGTATCGGTGAATTAGAAGTACAGTGTCGTCAAATGCAGTGTGTGGTACATACCGGTGACGACTACCACGTTTTCGTTTCGACGCAACCTTTATCATGATAATTTCATTTATTTGGGCATCCATTAGCCGCTTCATGCCACCATAGCTAAAGAACAACCCCTAAAATCGTGCGCGATCATCACGCCGGTAAACACTGGCCATTATCTCTACTTAAACCAAACCACCCTCTCTCTGTTATATATATATATATATATATATATATATATATATATATATATATATATGTGTCCTATCTGTAAAGGTACGTAAGTAACTACCCTTCGATAAAATTATAGTGTCCCTCTCCACCCTCCCTTTATAGAGAAGAAAATAAAAACCCCTATGAATATAATAAGCTGTTATTTGTTTGATTTAGTATTTACTTTTATAGATTTTTCTTTTAAGTACTTTTAATATAAATGGTTAATAATAGTAATCTAATTATTGTATATGATTGATATGAATATAAGATAAAAAAGAAATGATGAGATAGAGAAAGAGAGAGAGAGAGAGGAGTAATTAATTGTTCCGATGTGACGCGAAAGCTTTTTTTGCAAACGACAAATTCCCTCTCCCACCCTCCCTCTCTCTCTCTTCTTCTCTTTTTATTACAAAGGAAGGAGGAATCGCACCGGGTATCTCGGACTAACGAGTAACTGCCCTCGTTAAACTCCTGCCCGAAGGGTTCGCTTAATTAAAGCTAATTACTCGATTCCGTTGCCGACGACTAGAGCCACACTTTCCTTTTTATTCCTCATTTCTTTTTATCCTACCTTTCGATCAAAATAAACAAAAAAAGTATAGAACAAAAATACCTAAAAAAGGATCGATCAGTTTAATCAAAAGAGATAGGTATTACTTTCTAATAATACAATACAATCCAGAGATTTAGATTTACTTGAAACTATTTTTCCAAATTTTCTATCCCTTTCTCTCAAACACAAACCTGAAAGATTGAGAAATAGAGATAGAGAAAGATAAATACATATATATATATATATACAGGTGGTAGTTCGTAAGCGGTAGGTATCCAGGTCCGGAACCGAAAATGGCCACCCTCTAATGGACAGCAATTACCCAATAGCGAATTGCAAATTGGAATTACCGTCCTAAATCGGCGTGTATACCTCTAACCGAGTAGCAGCAGCAGCAGCAGCAGCAGGAACGAGAGAG